CACTTTTCATGATAGTAGCGCCACCTAGTGGCCAACCCGAACAAAATTTTTGGCCATGACTGACACGTGTGCCACGTTTCATGAGTTTTCAAGCATGAGAAAGCCTCCAAATATGCGTTCGTTTAGGAGGAAAAAGAAAAATAAGAAAAAGAAAAAGAATTCCTTCAATTACAATAGGGCCTTTGCACGATTTGAGCTCAGGCCCTAATAAAGTGGAATCAACACCTGTCTGTAATAGTTTAAACAAAAAATAACCATTATAATCTCTATAATGGTAGGATTTATTGACTAATTGCATTCATGTTTATCCTAGGAACAGTGTACCGTACTTTACAACCCCTCTCATTCATCCAGGCACCAACCTTTTATACACTAATGATTGCTAAGCTGCCATGCAGTTGCTGACTGGCACATCAGGAGCAAACTGTGACTTAATCAAGGAGGCTCTGACATGGAGTTAGGGGCTGAAAAGCCAGTGTTATATTTTGACTGTACCTGCCATAGTTGTGTTAAATGAAAGTGCTAGAACTACTTTTCCTTTTTTGATGGGTTTTTATGAATTATTCAATTTTTACTTATTTAAACCTGACTTAAAACAACCATTGCTGTCAGTGCAAACGCTTCAACAGATTTTAAAACAAGCTTTAAGACCTTTATCTCTCTGTTTGAGTAGCAATTGCTCTTAAGTTGCTCAGTGTTCACATGTAACTCCTGGCAATGCTTTTACGCTACATATTATACAGATTCCACATTCATCTGTTTGTGACGAGATTTGATTTCAATAAAATTAAAGATTTTTAGTCTGGCTCCTAATCAAGAACAGATTCTGGAGTTTTTAGAGGATTTCTTACAATTGTGAGATCATTATACTTGCATACAACGAACCATAGACTAGTCATTCTAAGTTAGTGAATTTTTGCATATTTAATAAACTACTGCACTTAATTGCATGTTTAAAATATCGAGCATATCATCATAATTCTCTGTTTTTGTATATATATATATATTTATGTGTTTTGATGCAGACGTTTTCATCTACACATGAACTTTTCTCAAAAAAATGATCACCTTCTTCAAATCCTGCGTTGGCTGACTAAACTCAACTTAATTTTAGTCTATTTTAAAGCTATTCAAGAGCATATCATATGTCTACTTTGTTGTACCAGCAGGGGGCAGTACGAGACACCGGATTCTCCAATGAGCCACTTATCACAACATGATAGTTAACATGCTCTCAAGTCTGGGGGCCTGAAAGGAGGGGAGGGTGAAGCATGGGGGCATGAAGACCAATTAAACAGTGACTGCACAACAGGAGAGGGAACTAAAAATAACCGACCCCCCCCCTTCAACCCACGCCTGACAGAGTGTAAGATACCAGACAGACAATGTGTGTGCCCTCACAGGTGCCAAGTATGTTCAGCTGATCTTTGTTATTTGCATGGTCGCATTGTGTAATCTTTTTGCCAGCCTTTAGGAAAAATCAGCTTATTTAGAATGTGTTTGTGAACAAGTGGCGCGTGGAATAAAGATGCATTATCAGGCTGAGGCATGTTCCACCCAAATCTCTTAAACATTGACTACGTAATGATCCCTGACACACCATCAGTATCACATATCTGTGTGTGTCTGCTCTGTGACGAAGACAAAGGACTTAGGTCTGAACACTTTGTAAGTACACATACTAAAAAAACTCCCGGGTTATCACACCTGCATGCCCCTTTCACTGACGTCACCTGGCCTCTGATAAATCAGGTCCATGTGAAAGATATTATGGGAACTGAGGGTGTGCCCTTGACATAGAGGAATGAAGTTAAATGGGTCATCAAGGTTAATCCAACACTCACCTGGAATGAGAAACTGAAAAGGGAAACTGTGTTCGCCCGGCACCAGAGTTCCTGTAAAAGAGGAAGGCTTGTCAGTTACAAACTGAAAAAAAAGAAAAATGCAAATAACTTGACTGGGTGCACATATAGTGATCATTCTCATGGTTTGTGTGTGTGTGACTGTATTTTTTGGGACTTCACATATCTTTTTGTAAACACCAGGTGTCCAGGCGAGACGCTGTGCCTGTGGGGTTCACCTGACTTTCTAAGACAAATGGACTGTTTTCTGTTCAAAGACCGAGATGTCTTTTGTAGAAAATGAAACTAGCAACTGAAACCAATCACCCAGCATCAGAAGAAGTGATAAACTGCCGGCTGTGTAGCTGCCAAAGTTGGAGCATTTCTCAGCAAAGTTAATCAATGATTTACAAGCACAGTGAAGCCAGCAGTGACCGAACCAAGGCTGAGTGCATTCTTCTGCTCAGTTACAACATCTACGGGTCAGCATCATTGTGCCATGTCTGCCCTCATAAATTAAAGGATAGGCTTTCTACATTTTTATTCTACGTTTTTCTTGTTGTCAACAAATCCAACAAGAAGACCAAAACCAACATCCCTCTCTACCATGTCTGTGGCATCTACCTATTGAAGACAAAAATCTTTAGAAACTGGTCAAACATATACTATTCTTTTTCTTGTAAGGCTAAATACGTTTCTCAAACAGCTGTTCGTCAAACAGGAGGACAGTGATTGTAGCAGACATGCTGTGTGTGTAACTGAGTCAAACACACAGTGTGAACTACGACACAGAGGAATAAGATATTTCAGGCTTTGAATACACAGACAATATTTATTAGTAGGATCAATTCATCATTTCGTAAGATTAATTAACAACAAGAAAAGTATAGACCATGCCTGGCCTTGTGTTTTAAAAGACATTGGCACAAACAGACAGAACTTCCTGCAGAGACAGACAGTGATATAAACACTAGAAACCAAACAAAAAAACAAATTTTGTAATTTGGATGTTATTAGACAACACGGGTGAATTGAAGCAGACCTTTCGGTGCTTTCAGAAACATATCTGGCACTCCGGAACAGGAAGTGCTCTGAAGCATGAAGAGGTGTTTTGGAATAAAACAAACTGTTAAGTAGATTTTCTCTGAAAGAGAATGTGTATCCAAATAGAAGCTCTTTTATCTCACTTGGTTATAACACTGTTTTTAGTATTCATATATGGCACCAGCTGCTTACAGTACTCCACCCAGAAAAGCAATTTCACAACTCTGAGTTTGAACTATTATTTTCAGAGTGTTTTCTAAGCATTCAGGAAACTTGACCCCAATTTTTCCACAAGGGTTTGTAAACACCAAATTCCAATTTCACAAAGTTCTCAGCCTCAAATATCTTAAATTATATCTAATCCATGACATGCGTGTACTGCATGTGACTGCATACCTGGGTGTAACACTGACAGTAATCTTTTCATCACACAGCTTCCAAAAGAGAAAATATTTTTTAAAAGTCTCGCATTTTATTCATTATATATACTGCAGCTCTGTAATGAGCAATTATCAACATTTTTCATACTTGTTTACTCCACAACCTTATGTAAATGCTAGCAAAAGCACGAGGGCCTTTCTATGTCACACTGAGAGCACCTTGAGCCAGCCGGGTTATTAATTCTCTAGATGAGCTGACAGCCCAATTAAATTCTTGTAGACAGCAACATGTCTCACCTCATTAGGGACGGGCACAACTTTTTCCGTTGGTTTCAGTTTCCTGAGGGGAGGCGCTCAGGCTGTGTGTGTGTGTGTGTGTGTGTGTGTGTGTTCATTTGCATCATGTTTACTGCTAGAGGAAGCAGTCATGCTGTGAACCAGCTCTGTGCAGGTGCAACAGCCACTTGTATATTCAATTATAGCAAGACTAGCTAGCACAGATATTGACATAAAAACCTTTCAAAAACAAAAACACGATGAAGGCAAACAATTAACAGAGGGCTAGATTATAGATTACACAGAGTAGGCTGTTAAGATAATAAACTTCAGCATACTAACCCATAACCCCCATGTCCCTCTAAGCTAATATCAATCCTCAACAATTCAAACCCATTCTACCTACAGCACTAATGAAAAAAAAAGAACACTGTATTACACAATAAATATCTGTAATATACAAACTAAAGTCAATAACAGAACAGTCAAGTTTTCAAAAACATTGCTTAAAATGAATTTAATAATGTAACTTTAAAAATATATCTCCATACAATTTGGTGCAGATATTCATGGTCCCAGGAAGATGACTTGTAATGACTTTGATAATCATCTGACTTTTAATCTGGTGCCATTACAAAACATCCACTTTTTGACAATTATGTATCACAAATGTGCTGCACCATTGGAAAAGCTCTATGGGAGCTGTAGTTCTTTGAACACCAACAAATAAATCTTTCTTTAACTTTGCTAAACTGCAGTTCCTGGTGCTTAATTCCCTAATTCCTTTCATGTTTAAACATGACGCTAAACAAACACTATCTGTGCAGAGATGTGCAACAATAGATAATGTAAAATATGAAGACATGGAATGCTACAGTGAGTTTGTCTCAAGCACGGTCTAAATATAAAGTTGTCTGATTCTAAACCAAGTCTACAGTAAAACCACAATCCAACTGCAACAGTGGGAGGGAGATCCTTATTCCCTGAAGGTCATTAACTGAGAACAGTGACAGGATGAAGGGCGGACGCTGACATCACTGGTGTTCATCCTTCCAACCGTCAAGCATCTGTGGCATACCACATTATCAGTCAGCCAAAATGAGCGTCGCTTGCTTTGTGTGAGAGAGTACGTGTGTGTGTGTGTGTGTGTGTGTGTGGTGGTCTTCTGTCACCCTTCCTGTCTCGTTCTCCCTGTGTTGCTCAGCCCTTGGGGGCAGAGCAGCCCATTTTCGGAAGAGAATGGGATACGGAAAAATGGCAGAGATAAAGGGGGCACAGAGGGAGGGTGTGTAATGAATTATTTATGTCCTCATCCGTTTGGAGGGTGGTGTGCCTGGTGTTTTACAGTACACTGTGTGTGTGCATTTGTGTACTGCAATGTTGAATGAGTTGTACTCTCGTTCCAACAATACTGCCGGTGGTATTTATTTCATTTGTTTTTTTATTTCTCATATTGAATAGTACAAAGGTTCTGCACAGCAGAATGCCTTGCAGACAGGTGTGTCAGATTACAGTGAGTGCAAGTGTTCAACAGTTGAGGTTCAATAGCCATGCCAAACGTGATAATGCAGTAAAAGCCAAGTATATTTAATAATATTTGTTTTTACCTTTACTTCTCTGTAAGTTTACTATATTCATATAGTATTCCTTCAGTTACACAGGTCCTGTATCCATGTACAGACTAGAGCTCATTGAGCAGGTCTGTTGACATGCTACCATGTAAGGCGGCTATATTCATGTTTGTGGCTGTTTGTTGGCTTGGTTTTAGTAATCAGTGTCTGCTTTGAAGCCTCATTTCCACTTCCCTGTCTGACATTTGGTATAACAAAAGCCCTAATTTCCCTCACATCAACTGGCGAGAAATCACATCAAACACAAAGCAGAGGTCAGTTCATCCAAAATACAAAAAACATTGTCCCACATTGCATGGCTACGAGTGTCTAGTCATGCAGACAGTTTTGTTTTCCCCGAACCATCTGTCTCCACTTTAATGCAACAGAAATGTTGTCAAACACATTACAATACAATTTCTCTGTTAATCTACGGTTATTAGTGCTTTTGTAGTATTTTCCTATGCTAATTCTACATAGCTTAATGTAGCATTAGACTCTATTCTACAGTACACAGAAGCAAAACCAGAAGTAACAACATCACAGTTTAAAAATAATCCAATACAAGTAAATGTCCTGCATTCAAAGTTGTACTTAAAGCAGCTATCAATATTTTATAATAACAGTGTTGACAGTAACAATGTGAAAACAATGAGGTGGCTGTGGCTCAGGAGGTAGAGCGGGTCTTCCACTAATCTGATCCCGGCTCTTCCTGCTGCAGACGAAGTGTCCTTCACAACAACTTTACTGTTTTGGTTCATTCTCACAGCTCTCAAAGCATCATTAGATGTTTTCAGTGGAAAAGCTCCGAAACCCCCTGTACACTAGCTGCTCATCACATAACAGCAGAGAGACACAGTTAGAGACTCCATGGTGAATATATTGGAACATTTAGCAGATAAAGAGCCAGATATTTTCCCAGGAGTTGGTGGAGACCAAAAACTGAGCTTTTTTACTTTTTCCGATGGCATGTTTTTTTGTAGTTTGTAGAAAACGTTGGTGAAATATACATATACTGTATATTACATTATTGAATTATCTAAACTGATGCAGTTTAGTAGTTTCATCAATAATAATGCATCATATATTGTATGAAAAATGTACAATATGCATATTAACTATAAAAGTACAGCTAGAGTAAAAAGTACAATATTTAAAGCTAAAATGTAGTGAAGTAGAAGTAGCATTAAATGGAAACAATATTGTACTTGATTACTGCACGTACACACATACAGTAATACAGTACAGTGTATTACCGCAGTACAGTATGTACTATATAGTATAAGAGATTGGTGTGTACCACAAGTTGAAGAACACAGTCCTGAGAGTTAAACATTGAACTGTTTCTTGGCGTTTTAACTGCCATGGATAACACGCTCTAATGACTGCCATTAAGTTCGGATGCGTGATATGCGTTTACAGCAGATTTCATGCACGCACGGCACATTTCGCTTTCTGGCTGTGGGCGGTATCGGCAACACATACAAAAGATGGAAGATCACACTCACAACAAAAGGTCCTGTAAGCTCTCGTTTCCGCAGCTGAGCCTGGCCTCAGTGCAGCAGCGCAGATTTGTACCCAGAGCCTGGGAGAAAAAAATCGAAACCTATCCCTGTGGAGCATGTCCACCCTTCTCATTAGACACTGCTGGACACTGATGACCACATCTCACCTCAGGGAGGCAGCATGCAGAGAGGCAGGCTGGAACATCCCTGCAGGGGACTGCTACTCTGATTGAGGCTTTAACTCTTCACTACAGGGCTGCAAAAACCTGCTGCTGCCACCGTGAGATTAAGCCTGTTGCAGCAGATTTCTCATAAACCAAATGAGGTGAAAGGCAGAAGGATTCAGTCATATCATAGAGTGTTGTTGTGACAGGGATCTGGAGGTTCTGATATTTCAGTGCTCTCAGAGCAGTGGGATAAAACAGTCTGTTTCATATAGGAAGCTACATGTGAACGTTTTTTTAGTGTTTTCCATTCACTGTAATACAAATGAGATGAAGTATCTAATACGTAGCAGACCTTAAAGTTCTTTCATAGACAAACATAGAATACAAAGTTTTTAGAGGCATCACCTTTGTCAGCAACAGACAATGTGCTGTTGAAGTACTGCTCCTCCAGAGTCCACGAGCTGTCGTTCACTTTGTTGGAGATACCACATGAGCCCTGACAGTTCACCTTGATGGCTGTGAAAAGAGGAAAGAAAACAATAGTAAATCCACTGTTTGAAAACAGCTTCTTTTTAGAAACGGTGGTTTCATTATTAAAGTATCTGCAGACTAAGACACCAGTTTCCCAGAGCAAAACATGAATATAAACGCCTTTTGAAAACTTGCCATGTAAACTGTCATTCTGACTGTTTTGTCAAAGTCTTGTTGTTAATACAAAACCCAACCTTCTTGTTTCAAACTCTTAAGCAAGCAACACAAACACCTTTAACATTCCTTTTCTTAAACAATCCTGGGAACAACTGGGAATCACCAGTCATATCAATTTGATTTGGAACCGCAGTCAGTTTGGGCAACACAGTGAAGAATACAGACCAGGTCAAATGAATCTGGGCCCCTGGTGTTGGTCATGTTCATTCTGCTGCAGTGGTACATAATCACAACAGGCTGTGAGTGGTGTTTGTATCCACAGATGAAGAGGAGGAGTAACTTTATCAGGGGGCTGTTGTGAAACTGAAGAGGATACTGTAAATGAAGGTCTGGCTGCTTCAGGTTGGACTGGTTTGGGTCATGGCACAGATTAGCGTTTTACTGGGATGATGATGGTGGCGATGCTTGTGATTAAGTAACAGGTTACTGATAATACAAATGCAGTTGTTTTTCCAAATGAACTTTAATACAGTGTCCTCCTGCCTGTTTAGGTCTATGTTGTCCTGTGGGAATGCTTAAACACTAAAACTGCATTTGGTGATGTTACTGCTAGTGGGTGAGGTTAACTGTTGAAGTTAAGCAACTTGTTCCTCTGTGACACTGCTGACTGTAGGGTACAGGAAATGATCATCTTCTCACGCTTGATTCAAAGATCAAGACGATAAAAAAGGCTTAAAAAAGTTCACACCGGTGCTGGGTACGACAGACAGACGTCAACAGTCCACCAACAAGAAAAAACACTACGGTGAGTGAGCAGCAGGAACACTCTGCGGTGCTCTCTCTCTCTCTGTCTCTCTGTCTGTCTCTCTGTATCACACGTCCTCTCTCTATCCCTCTTGTCTCTCTGTTGATCTGTCTGTGAGGAAATGAAAACCCTCTGATAATGCACACAGACACACACCCACACGCACAGACCAAAAGTGTGACAGAAGCCAGAGGATTACAGAGAAAGATGGCCCAGCCACAGTATTATCCCAGCATTCTGATAAACAGACAGCTACATGTTTTGTTAGTGGTCCCAATGTGACTCCTGAATGTCTTTACTTCATCTTTCAAAATTCATTGTTTGGTTTTATACTGTATGACATTGTATTTTGTGAAGCACCTTGTAACTCTGGTTTTGAGAGGCGCATGACAGCATGATTGCATGACATTAGCATTTCGCTATGCAAACATTTGCTACCTGGCACTAACCACAAAGTAGTGTACAGCTGAGGCTGATGGGAAGTGTTTGGCATTTCAAATTCATCCTGACGGGTAGTTTAATGCATCAAATTTAATGTAAACCCAGCCAATATTTGTCATGAGACCTGCTGGAACAAAGTGAAGGATCACCAAAGTCAGCAGGATTGATCCTCTGGGCAACATGGATATCTCAACAAAATTCTATGGCAATGAGATATTTCAGTGTGGACCGAAGTGCTGGACTGACTGACACTGCCAGCCTTGGAGCCATGCTGTTAGCATCAAAGATGTGTTACTTACTTAGGGTTAATTACTACTTAATCACACTGATGCAAACATCCTGCTAATCCAATACTGCCATAATGTTGTGTTGCTCATTGACTTGCAACATATCCATCAATGGTCTAACACCACCAGAGATTAGCCTCATAAAGAGTTAACCAAAATCTCTTCCTGTTGTCGTCCTGTTGCCCAACCCTGCGTGACACTTTTGGGTACTGACTGCTACAGCCGTGATTTTGGCATTACTCGAAAAGAATTCTGGTTTGGTGAGAACACGCGCAGGCTCTGATGTTAAAAAAATATCATGCCGCAGTCTGTGTTTGACCAATCACAGGCTCACACCCGTGCAGGATCCTGTGCTGGCATCACAGACCACACACACACACACTTTCAAAGTGGCAGATGGCTGCGCTCTCCACACCGGCAGGACTGCTGGCAGAGTCTGGGGGAAGGGGGAGGGACCTTTGCTGCCGGTAAAAACAAAAACCAAAATCTGCAGCTCACAAAACGAAGCGGTGCCCTTCATCCACACACACTAATGTCCATTTATTTGGTCATTAATTAAGCCCTGCAATCTGCTCCTCCGGCCATCTGCCTCATTCATGGAGGAGAATAATACCTTTATACTCCACATTAACACAATGTGTGAGCTTTCTGTGTGTCGTTACACTTCACAGATGCAACAATGTAAGTGTAAAGTACACAAATGTGACAGAAAATGGAGCCATTACTGTGAGAAGACATTGTCTACAGCTGTGTGTTGTGGAAAAGCTGGGTCTATGGAAGGTCAGCACAGAGGTAATCTGTTAATATCCCCCGCAGCAGCAGTAGCATCAGCAGCAGGAAGGGCGGCTGGAGCAGAGCTGAATAGTGAATAGTTGTGTCATAAGACACGGGCTGCTTTGGCAGAGAGACTGGCTGTCTGCCGCTGAATAATGGACGGGCCTCTCCACAGACACATGGAGCCACATGGACAAGGAGTAGTCGTGATGGGTTTGATGATACGCAGATCCAGATATAAAGATGTCACAGACACAACAAGGGCAGCAGCAAGTCCAAAACCTAAATTTAACCCGGTATCCGGTTTAACAAGACTTCCCTTCTGGACCAATAATTATGGAGGTTTTGTGAGAATCACTCACATTGTTATACATGTATAGTTACATGTCCATCCTGTTCAAGTTCCATCATTTAAAACTGTGAATGAATGAATGAATGTTAAAGGACCAGTGTGTAGGATTCAGTGGCATCATACGTGGAGTTACAGATTACAACTAACTGACTATTTGATGACCGGGGAATGAGTGTTAATGAATGAATTAGGACTCAAACCTGTGACATTGTGGTTATGTAGCAGGCTATGCGACATCCGTTTTCAGTTTACCTGACACCCTGTTCCTTCTTTCTGTAGTGGAGGAATGTAATAGTGAGCAGCACCAAACCAGAGGTGTCAACACTAGAAGACATAGAATTTCCAATAGCCTTAATTGCATCTTCTCTTGGAAAGCTTTATTTCTTGACTCTTCCTTTTTTTAATCTTAGGCACTTCTACTCATATTTTGATACTGATAATGTGCATAACAACAAGTGGACAAAATGAACTTACCTGCACTGACACTTACAGACGGCAGGAGCACATACAAATGCATCAAAAAAGCTAAATCTTAAACTACAGTATAATAACATGAGTAAGTTATGGCATCATTTGGTAATTAAAGCTTTTCTCATAAATTACTTTTGGAGCAAAGCGGCAAAGAAGATGATTGGCTCCTAAACCTCAAGGTCACAAGGCAAAAGTGTCATCGTTCAGATAACAGACATGGGGGGTGAATTAGTAAATAAAATGAGGTTAGCTAGCTTATTAACCCCAGCTTATAACATTAAAAGGTGTTAACAGACAGTACAACACAACCTTGAAGCCCATAACAGCTGGCACACAAATGTCACTTCACTCATTGTGGTCTGGCAAGGCTCAACAGGCATCCAAGTGGGTTTCCAAATGAATCTGTGGCAAGAAATAGACAGTAAAGTTCTACAATGCCTAGCTCAAATAGTTCTTCACAAAGATCTAAATCCTGCACTGTAAATTCAACTCACAAGATTTACTTTGGTTTTGTGCATCTGACAATTTGCAACTCGTCTGCTACACACCAGCAGCTACGGATCACACCTTGTATTTGCCAGCACAGGAATCTACGCCAGGGGCCAGCTCTCTGCAGAACAAACCACAGCCTGAGGGAGACTGACACTCAGTTGTAAGAGGGAAGCCAGCAGCAGAGCAAGCTCTGACTCAGCAGCTGCCTGGATTTGTTGCCAACACATTGGAGTCTGTCCAGGTCGTCTCTACGGTTCAATGAGAGTGTCTGTAGGCGGAGATGATCCTGGTGCTACTACTCATTAGATTTTACAATTAGACTGTGTGGGTAGACAGATCCAGGAGAGGAGATGCAATCGATAGTGTTTCCAGATCGGGCTGCCTAAACATAACTGCTGTGTTTTATTGTATCAAAAGGTTCTCTGATGTGGGTGAGAAAGGTGAGTGCCGTATATTGTTTTGTGACATTGTGCGTCTGTAAAGCGTATCCTGTTTTTAGTGCAGTCAAACAGTCAAACTTAAGAGAAACGGACTCAGCTGAGGAAATGCCACACCTCTTTGTGTTGTGGTGTTCCTCACTTTTCATCAGGGAAGAGTGTGTTAGAGATCATCTTCCTGCTTATACCTAGCTTGTTATTGTTTTAAAGTCTTCCGACAGTGTTGCTAACCTTTAGTCCTAAATCTCATACCACACACTTTTACTTTAAGAAATACAGATATATTTGCATTTAACAAAAGTATAAACTTTTACAACGATTAAAGGTTGTCTGAACATAGGCAGCTAGCTTAACTGTTGGCAAGTAGCAGCAGAACTTGCTACTGTTGCTATGGTTATATGTAATTTACTACTTTGGTTCAAATGTTGACCAGAAAAAAGAATGACGTCCTCCAGTAGGATTTTAACCTCTATGGCATCCTTCCCTTAAGGAGACTTTTTCTCTCACACTAAAAGTCATTGATGCCACTCCAACTTTTGTCTTTCACCTCTCCCAGTGCAGGAATTTTGTCCCTTAGGGCATACCTTCCTGAAGAAATATGTGCCAGTTACGCAACACTGTTTGCTGATCTTCACTACAAAGAGAATTGGTTTATAATTGAGTGGTTTTACAGAAAATAATGTTTTCACACTGGTATGCTTAGAAATACTAAACACTGAGTGAGAGAAATGACTTTAGTAACAACTGTTTAACTTTTCCAGGACTAAAAGGCCGAACTGTGTCTGTGGGATAAAACCATGCAGTCAGAG